AAAAAAATAATACATTCATTGTTGTATGCTCAAAGAAAATAAATTAACTTTCTCACTTTAGCTAGAAGAGAAGAAAAAGAAAACAGTGCAACAACGCAATATGAATGAATATGGTAATTAATCATTGAACAATTAGTCAAAGTTAAATTTCTTGTTTAGCTTTTGTTTTGACAACAAGAAAAATGTTAACTATAGACTCTAAACTATAACCGTTTTCATCAAATTAACTATTTATTATAATTGCAAGGCCATCCATTCATTTTTAAATTATTGAAAAACAAAAAGTGACGTATGATAACAAGTAGTGTGATGCCATAGTGATGTGGTTATTAGTTTATACAATCTTTAAAAAATTGGAAAATAATAGTTTCTATTGTAATTCTACTTACTAACTATATTATTAAATCATTATTGAACAATTCTAGATTTGATGATATTTATTACACATCGGATTAAACCAGAAAAAAAATCATAATGAAAGAAACGAGTTCAAAAACTAAAATTCTTTTTTTGATACAATTGTGATATGGATATTTCTGTTTTTATATACTTCAATGGAAATTATCAGGGGTATAAATTATAAAAAATAGAATATTAAACAAAGTTTTTTTAATGGTAATATTACCGTTCTTAAAGATGCAAAACTGTTCCTTCGTCTTTGTGAAATTACTTATTAATAAATGAATAGGATGATTCACTATATTTTTAAAATAATTTATAAAAAGACATGATCACTAAATAATGGAAATATAATAAGAAATTTCTCAATTGACTTTATTACTCGCATATATGCTTAGTTTATTTAGGTGTTGAATATAAACAACAGATATTTAACATGAATATAAATTCTTGATTGACTCTTTAATATTGTCCTGTAATATAGTACTGCAATAATGATTATTATAATTATAATATTTGGCATTTATCTTAATATCTCACTCAAAAATCGATTATAGGCTATGTATATTGAAACTAGCTGATTTTTTTAGGAAATGTTGAAACTGTAATGATGAAAATATGATAAAAATTTATTAAATTATTTTTTTGTTTGAAATCACGTGCTTGGATACAGCGTAGCATATAGAGCGCTTTTCAAAGTCTTACTTCTTTGAGCGGAGAAAACAGATTAAAAATACTTTAAACAAATTATTATAAAGAATCGAACTTGATATTAATGATAATCGCAACTATTCTCAACATTTGATAAAATAACATCAAGAATATCTCTTTATCTTTGTATTTTTATTTAATTTTCTTAGAATATTTGGTCAGAGCTAACCTACATTATTAATAAAACCAGAATAATCATAAATACTTGATAAAATGTTATCTGTAATAACATTCTTGCTACTCTCTTCTTCATTTCTTCTATATGATGGATGAAAGATTCTTTTGTTCTGTTTTGAAAAAGGATTCTTTCGTTTTCTTATTCGTTTTTACTCAGTGATGTTTTTTTTCTTCAATTGAAAGAATATACTCTTCTGCTGGTGCAGTCTCTTGTATATTCAACAATCTCAATTAAAAGTTCACACCCACACCCATACTCACCCTCAAATCGCTAACGTTTTAAATAGGAATCATCTAATTCTGGCAGTCAAAGTTGTTTTGGAGCCAATTCTTTGGTGTTTATTGTGATAAATGTCTTTTTTTCTAAAACTGATTGAATATTCCTCAAACCATATTATTTAATATTTCGAATAACTATTCACATCTACATTTTAGGTTATATAGAGAAAGCTTTTATTCAATTAATTTTCAAGAGATTTTTTTTTAGATTTTTCACGTATAGAAATAATAAACGAACAAGAAGTTAATCATTACACAGAAAAGAACTTTACTTTTGATTATCCATATGCGTCATCGACTACGTTATTTGGTACTGATTCTTATCGCCGGTGTGAGTTTGTTTCTTTTACAAAGCGAGTCTACCTTGCGTGATGCTATTCAAATGCCGTGTAATTTAACGGTTTCAACAATTCCCATTTCAACATCAACAGTCCGTTTAACCGAGCGCACGACTACTTCATCACATAAAAAAACATTTCCGATAACAACACAGGCTTCTACTACGACAATAGCAGCCCACAATTGGTTTCAAAATGTTTTATCAAGATACGGTGACGTTCAAAAATGGTCAGCTGATGAATTCGATGCTAAACTACACCATCTTTCGCACTGGAGTTTTTTAAACGCACAACAATGGCTCGATTTTGTCAATAAAAGTATAGCTAAACTAGATCCACCGATGTCACCAACGAAAAATTTTACCTTTTTTGAATTGGGCGTAGGTGTAGGTGCCTTTTCACGTCGATTATTACTTCAATATCCTTATTCTAACGGTATTGGAGTTGATGTTGTTCGAGATGCTGTCGAAATTGCTCGAATTGTCTTACCATCAGATCGTATGAAACTTTATACTGTATCGCATAATGAATATAACATGATTGATAATAGTACAATCGATCATATTATTGTTCCGGGTGTTATTTGTTATTTTCCGTCACTAGCCAGTATTGAAAATTTAATCAGAGAATTAGTACGTATTGCTAAACCTGGTGCATCGATGTGTTTCACTATGATACCATTCGATGCTTCTGGCAAGTTCTCATGTAATCTTATTATTTCACCATCATTTTGGTCAAACAAGAGAATAAGATCTCTTGGTGTACGTGTAACAAGTGTACAGAATATGTCGGAATGGAACTTATCACATTCTCAATATCGATATGCTGCAAATTTGAGGAAAGATATTGTCACTTGATCCTATTCCATTGGTAGACAAGGCCTTCAAAAAATGCATTAATGTTCGTTAAAACTTCGTTAATATGTATCGATTTTTTTCTGAACTCATCCGTTTTTATTCAATATTATTGTAACTTCTAATTGTATTAATATGTTTATGGTATCACATCCATGTTTTGGCATTAATATTTAACTTATTATTTCAACATTTTTGTACTGCTACGACCAAATGGTCATTAGTTTACGCGAAAATAAAAAGAAAAAAAATTATGTAACTGATTCTGTCCCAATTTTTTAAGAAAGTTGAATGCTTGAAATATAATACCCAAGTTCACACTCACCCTCAAGGTACACTAGAATAGATAGTTACCTTTTTAAAATGATAATTTTATGATGCTGAAAAATTTCAAAAATTGATTTTTATGATAGCAAAGGAATTATGTCTGTGAAAATCTAAATATCTAGATGCGTTCATTGTACTCCGTTTTTATTTAGATAATACAAAAGTACAATGTAAAATATAAATACACGAGATAATCAAAATACAAGATCGAGTAGATATATTATCTGTGAAAAGTACCTTGAAGATTTTGATACAGGTCATTTACTTTAACATTTAACATTTATTGTCTTTCTAAACAAATCCTTTTGGCATAAACTGACTGATAACACACCGATAGGTTATTTTAATAAACCCAAGAATTTTATTTGAATGTATTTGTTAAAAAAGTGTTATAGAATACATGTGTTAAGAGTAGAATATCAGTGTTTTTGATATTTCAAATACAAGGTCATAAAGATTTTTTTGAATCAAATTCATTATTTATTATTTTTGAATAATGGATGGTATGAGAGTGTTGGTCACTTCATACAACATCTTTGGAAACCAATGAATACCAGTCATTTCATTTGATGACATTCCAAACAAACTATACCACCAACGCATTGGTGCCAAGATTATATGAGCACCATAATGACTATTGATAGTTGCATAACATGAAACAACAACGTTATTCACGATTAATGTACCTTCTTCTGTTAATGGAGCCATATATCCTTGTTTCACAACATCTGTCA